CGTTTGAAAGACCCTGCAAGGACGAAGGGAAATCAATGCCTCTGACCCATTTAGAGGAAATGAAAGGGTACAAATTTTCATGAGACGACCAAGGACTTTCAGTTATCGATGACCATGGCCATCTGCCTTCCTTCGAACTTGACCCCTTGGTCATTTCCCTCTGGTAAGGCTGTATTTTCTGGCATTTGGTCCATGTCCGGGCTCATATAAAATTTTATCTTCTCCGGCTGGCCTATCCCATTTTTCGGGGACATCACTTTCTTATTAGCCTTCTCCTTGCTTTCGACCAACAAGGTCTCTTGCTTTCCTCTAGGCTGGTGTGCTGCTCGAGCACCAGAAGCCTGCGCCCTTTCATTCCCTTCTTTAAGCTTTTCCTATGTAGGAGTAATGCCTCCATCCTTGGCTTTACTTTTTTATATTAATGTTAGGAGATGACAGAGTGGTTTTGCCACTCTTTTGAGATACAAAGTTACCTCCACCCCTTGCTTCCTTCACATTTGAGGAGGTAGTCTGCTCCTCCTTTGGTTGTTTTTCTGTTTTCTTTTGTTGTTCTGGCTTTTCTTGCCCTGTTTAGTATGTTCCTGATCCTTCTTTCTCCCCTCCAAGCCCTTGTCAGTTCTCATTCCAACATCCCCATCTGCCTCTCCCGCTGGGGTTTTTCCTGTATTAGTCGTTGTGGTATGCTTTTCAACTTTCTTTGTCCCTTTCTTCTCCTCGATGATGTCTGTCTCTTCTTGGGTGACAATATGCTCATCAACCTCCTCATCCTCAGTTTCGGCTTCCCTATCAGCCTCATTTTCTAGCACATTAAACCTTGACCTTGGGGCCTCAGTAGTTGTTGTATCTTCCTTTCCTTTATTTGCCTTCCCTGCTTTCTGGATATTCTGCTGCTATGGCTTTCTTCGATTTCTGGTCACGAGCATCCATGGCCAGAAATCCTCAAGAAGCTCTGCGAACTCTTGTCTTGATCCTATATTTTGACATAAGCCTCTTTCTTAACTCGATCTCCACACAAATACGATCATAGTTTCCCTTTGATCCATTTGCCGTATTGTAATCTATCTTTTCTACTCTCCCCAATCAATCCCCAATATCATATAGAATCTCTTCATCAAAATAGGCAAGTGGGAGGCGAGGGAGCCTGGCCCAAACCAAGGCATGACTAATCGAATTGAAATCCGGATCAAAATCAATCCTCCATGGCTCAGCTTCGATGTAATGATCTTCGATAGTCCAAGGTCCCCCGTACAAGGCACGATCATGGTCAAGTTGAGAATCAAAAATCGCTTGGAAATAACCATTTCCAATGTCGCCAATGTTGATCCCCCCCCAGTTCTCGCCCACATTTTCTGCACTCTTATGTGAATGATATCAAAAGGAAAGGTCTTACCCAGAACACGAAAGGTGATGGCTCTTTTCCATCTATTCCTGACTCTCGCATCTGTGCTTTTCTTGATTCTGATTGTTGGGCATTCGGGGTCATCCTCAACATCTTCTCCTTCCGATTCACCAGACATCAATTCATCACCTTGGGGAATTTCAGCAGGGGGTTCATTCCCAAGGAACGAATCTTTGTAGGGGACTTTCATCCTCCCCTCCCCGTTGCTGGCCGGTATCGATTTTGTGACTCACCCTTCCTCACCGTTGCTAACCGTTTCCATTTCCACATCTTTACCCTGATGTTGTTCTCCAGCCCTAGCTGTGACGATGGCGATTTCCATTCCACCTTCCTCTGAGAAGTCTCCGCTCGTGCTTGCCTTCACATTCTTGCTTGGTTGGATCGGCGTCAGCGGCGGCAGTTCCCAGGATCTCCTTCAACTCCGTGCCCCCAAATCTCGTCCAGCCCGACGATTCACCTCCCCGCCGATGAGGACCACTGACAGATTCACCTTCCCGACAGTTCCCAGGATCTCCTACACCTCGACAATGTATTTGTCGTCCGCCGATTCGCTCGTCGATCCGGACTTGAAACTCGCAGAGGATCGATCTGGCGGTGTAGCAGTCGTCGAACCTCCGCCGCACGACGTGGAGGCCGGTGAAGTAGAGGACGACGCAGTCCTACTGTTGTGCATTCTTCAATTGCAAGACTTCGGTTTATATACCATCGCACAAGAAATAATATCTTCCTCCACCGTCAAATACATCCAATTATTCAAACCCTCATTTCCGAGCCGGACCGTGGCGGCAAAATCGGAATCGACTCCACCGCTCCTCCGTCCATCTCGTCGACGCCTTCAATCTTTCACCGCGTCTGGGCGCCTTGCAATATCGCACCCACCGGAACACACAAATCAATCGGACGACCGGCCGGTGACAATAGTTCGGATCAAAGCGCTTGAGCAGGGGACGAATATTCCTGGAATATGTTGTTGTTGTTGTTGTTGTAGCCTATCTCCCGAAGGGATCTGCTGACTTCGTCGATGAGGAAGTTAAGGACGACCTAGGCTCCCTGGAAGGACAGCGCCACCACCTTTGCCATCTTGAACGTCCCCAGCCACACCCTCATCCCGTGCCGCGTCGAATCCCTTATCTCCTCCGTGGCGTACTTCCCCCATGGCCGCCTCCTCACCCCTCTGTATGTCGCCGGCTTATTACCGCCGCCACATGCTGCTTTCTTACTACTGGACAAGTCGGCTTCCTTCGCCGCCGGTGACGGAGCCGCCTGGGAATTTCATCTCATTATGAGATCTGCAGAGGAGGAGGAAGGTGAGCTACTGGGTAGGAAGAGCTTCCTTTCTTCGTCGACCTAGTGGATTTGGGGAGGAGGAGAAAGAGTTGCCTGAGAATAGTAGTAGTAATAATGTTGCTCCCCCATTCGATCGAAACTGTTGTCACCGGCCGTTGTCCGATCAATTTGTGTGTTCCGGATGGTGCGATATTGCAGAGGCGTCGGTAGTCCGTAGTCCTCATCGGTGGGAGGTGAATCGTCGGGCTGGACAAGATTTGGGGTGGGGAGTTGAAGAAGATCATCGTTCGGTTGCTGTCGCCGCCAGTGTACTTATTTAATATATATGGGTAGTTCTACGATACCCATAGTGAAATCCGGGGTACCGCATACCTTGAGTAAGAAAACGCTATCCAAAACTTGAATTTACTGATCTTTCGGACATGATATTATACTCTAACCCTTAAAGATCAACATCTAGGTCTTAATTCTCTAAATCTTATACCCCAAGATCAATTTAATTAGAAATAATAATCGACGGTTATGATTCGTCCAAATATAGGCAAAAAAACCAATGCACCATCTTAGGGTTTATAGTTTATGATTTAGATAATTAGGACCTAGGGTTCACTCGTTAAGGGTTAGGGTATAGTATCATGCCCAAAATCCTGCTAATTCGAGGTCTAGATAGCGTTTTCATACTTAAGGTATGCGCTAGCCCGGATTTCACCCGGGGTAGCGTAGAAGGCACCATATATATATATATATATATATATATATATATATATGAAATCTAGAGTATTGCATACTTTGAGTATGCAAGTGCTATACAGACCTTGAATTGACTGATCTTTCGGACATGATACTAAATTATATGTATGGTGAGTTCTACGGTGCCTAGGGCAAAATCTGGGGCATGTCGACCTTGGGTGATCTTCACCATTCATTTCACCTCGACAATCCTCGTTAGGTTTCGGTAAATCTTTAACAAATAATTAATCAAATTACAAAAAGCTTAAGTGGTAAGACATTTTCATTCACGTCCAACTAAACTGCACCTGATTAAATAATATGGATTAAGAGTTTGAACCCATTTCGGTAGACCCTTTGCCGCCCTAACCAATTTTTCCGTCTCCCTTCCACGATCCCTTGTTATTTTTTCGAGGGGACATCGCTTCCCAATTCGAAGATATTAATATAACCTCTTTAAAACTTCTATAAACTCATTAAAATATTTAAAGCCTTTTAATGATCAGGTTTAGTGAGTAGGTTGGGCAGTCTGTGGGCTGTTCAAGTGTTTTTTTCGGGTAAAAAAACAAAAATGATCATATGCAGTTGGAGTTGAAATTAATCATTTTTTCGTGGATGACGATGGATGTAGTTTTAAGGAGCATGATGTTAGTGATAATAATGACAAATATGGTGATGGTGGTGATTAGATGATAAGACTTGGATGCAAATTTTGATATTGATGGCCAGACGTAGTCGATCAAGATTTTTGGGACGTAGTGATTTTGAGAATTTAGAAATTTCATATTGACTATGAGTTGTGGTTCATGCTAGTCTATAATTTAAATGTTTTTTTTCCCTATGTTTATGAACTTCTTGTTCTGAGTTAGACTTTACTCGAGTTCAAGAGCTTTTCCAATTTGCTTATGTTTATAAATCCTAAAATTTCATAGCCATTTAAAGTTTCATGATGTTTGTATTCAACAAAATATAAGTTGAATTGGAGAAGATTTATGATAATTTTAATGATTCATATAAATTTACGCATTTATGTTTATGTTTGAATCCACCATTTCGCTTATATATGAAAACTATAGTTTAACTACATTAGTTGTAAAAGACAAGTGTTAGTTTATGAGCCGATTCTTTCGCTGTTTTGATAATATTGATTTGAGTAAGTTATGACCCGATGATACTTATTGCCCTAATTGGCAAGGAATGTTGCTACTAATTTTTTTTGTATTATAGAACATAACTGTTTCATAAAATAAAAAAAAGAATAAAAGCCACACTAAACTATTGAGACAAAAAGTTAAATTTGGAGTTTTTGAAATTTTAGTCTCTCGAATAAATAAAATACATTTTAAGGAAGTAAAAAGCTAAATATATCACAAAATTTGTGGATGTCTAATCTATCACTCCGAACCGAAAATAAGAGATCGCATCTGCTGTCTCATCTAACCGTCTGAAATCCCACCACGTGTTTCAAACTCCAGATCTTCGCCGTCCTTGCCAGCTCACGGCGGTCAGTATTTCGGGCAGCCGATGACGAGTTGGAAATTTAAATACACGGTCCAGATCTTGCCCATCATCTTTCCGGGCAGATCTCCTTGCCTTTAAGAACGAGGCTGCCCTTCCTATCCTCTTCGCTCTTATCAGGGAAAAGATCCCCAATTCCCAATCTTCTCCCTCGTTTCCCCTTTCCCCTGAAACCCTAGCTGGTTCGGTATCTCTCTCTCTTGGTCGATCTATCCTCCCGGCGGGATTGTTCCCTCCGACCTACACCTTTCGTCCGGCGCGTTGGGTATCGAACCTAGGAGGCGCGTGGCGTTCACGCTCAATGTGATCCATGTGTTCTTGGTCACCTGAATTGGGAGACCTCCGCCGCCGGGGCTGTCCCGGGACTCTACCGGACTCATGGCGTCAGCTCTGCTAGCTAATCGGAACGAACCGAACTGGATTCAGCCACAGCCGGCCGGCGGTGCGAAGCCTATGGGCAAATATCCTTTCTCTAATTCTAACAACCCTAACCCTAAATTCTCAAAGAAGCGGCACCTTCAGGCTCTACCCTTGGCAGATCTAGATGAATCTCCGGCGTTCGCGCAGTCTGCTGCTTCTGACGACGCTTCTTCGATAAATCGGAGACCTGTTGATTTGAACACAGGGGGATACGTTACTTTCAACATCTCTTCCTATACGAAGAAGGAGCTGGTGGAGCTGAAGGATCGATTGGTGGGTGAGCTGGAGCAGATTCGTCAATTTAAGAGCCGGATCGACCTGTCGACTGACTATCAGATCAGATCCAGCTCAAATTTCCACAACAAGAAACTAGTTGGTGGCCCAAACAACAAGAAGATATTGGGAAACAAGAGGCCTTTCTCTGCTACCAATTCGAGTTTTGGGGTTCAAGATTTCAAGAGATCGCAACACCCAGATAACTCGCAATTGATGAAGAATTGCAGCCAGATCCTGTCCAAATTGATGAAGCACAAGTTCGGACACATCTTTAATGTTCCGGTGGACGTTGTTGGAATGCAGCTTCACGATTACCTCGACATAATAAAAGTTCCCATGGATCTGGGTACGGTGAGAAAGAAGTTGAGGAAAAACCTCTATGACTCGCCAACGGATTTTGCTGCAGATGTGAGACTGACCTTCAACAATGCGATGAGGTACAATCCTAAAGGTCACGATGTACATAATATTGCTGGTCAGTTACTTGACAGATTTGAAGAGTTGTTCAGACCCATCAAGGACTCGCTTGTTGATGAAGAGATCCAGGAAGAGGAAGAGCACGTGCAAGAAGTACAAGCTAGTTCATGGGATCACAACCACCGGGGATTGGTGGAGACGCAAAGAGTATCGAAAGACCAAGGGGTTGTGATGCAAGAGATGGTCAAGTCCGAGCATATTGGGAACTTTGTGGCTCCTCAAGCTTCTAGTTTGAGCCAAAACCCTAACCCTCAGTCGACTTCACAGTTGCCTGTCAGGACTCCATCACCACGGCGGGTTCCACCAGTGAAGCCTGTAAAGCTTCCGAAGCCAAAGGCGAAAGACCCTAATAAGAGGGCGATGAACCTGGAAGAGAAACATAAATTGGGCGTAGGATTGCAGAATTTGCCTCAGGAGAAGATGGAGCAAGTTGTTCAAATAATAAAGAGGAGAAATGGCCATTTGAGGCAAGATGGGGATGAGATTGAGCTTGACATTGAAGCAGTTGATACAGAGACTCTGTGGGAGCTTGATCGATTTGTCACCAATTACAAGAAAATGGCGAGCAAGCAGAGGCGTCAAGCATTAATGGGTGTCAATATTGGGGCTCCTGCAACGAGTGAAGGCAACAAGGTACTTTGGTGGTTCATTTTTCAATCATAATTTCAATTGGGTTTGTGCTTTTATTCGGATTATTCTTTTCGGTGCATTGTCTAATGGGTGGCTTTGGTTTGGTTTTTGTCGTGGGGATAGGATTTGCCTGGTATTGAGAGAATGGACATTGTAAATGAGGTGAAGAAGCCAAAGAAAGGCGATGCCGGCGAGGAAGATGTGGATATAGGGGATGAAATGCCAATGAGCAGCTTTCCCCCGGTGGAGATTGAGAAGGACAATGGGCGTGCAAGTAGCAGTTCTGGTAGCTCCAGTAGTTCCAGCGACGATTCTTCTTCCTCCAGTGGTATAACCCGACTTGTGTGATTCGGGGGGTGGACAGACAAATCTTGCGTGTCTGAAAATACTGACTGATTTGAATATGCAGATTCCGACTCGGGGAGCTCTTCCGGGAGTGATTCAGAGGATGCACACTCATAGTGGCACTAACCCTATGTGGATGAGAATTCGGGATCACAGGCCCCTCGAGGCAGGGGTGCGGGGTGTGGAAGATCCTGGAGCTGCCGCCTTGCACATTGATGAAGGAAAGAAGCGAGGTATGATAACTGCAGGTCCTCCTGATGATGATGATGTATTGGTCGGCATTAGAGACGATAACTCGATAAGGTGTAGTAATTTGATGAGAACGGAATGGTGTGTATTGTAACAGGTTTGTAGGAGGGGTGAGTGGAACAAATTTAAGCTGGGCACGCTAAAGGAAGGTGGATCAATACTTGTGTGTATGAAGGGAGGTCGAGCTGCTAGCAAAAGGGAAACGGAGGCGGAAGCTAAAAAGTAGCAGTGGCTGGCTGGTTTAAGTTAAAGGGTAGGAAGAATAGAGTGAGAAGCTTCTGTTTCTGTGTTTTTTGTCCCCTCCTTTTTCTTGTAGTTGGTAGAGTAGGGAGAAATAGTAGTGGTGGTGATGATTGGGTGTTTGGCTAGAGCGTGGGAGATAGGGGACTGACGTAGGCTCAGAATTACGGTTTGTACACGTTACTGCAACACTTGGAATACAAATTAACCCGCAGTTAGCTTGTTGCAACAGAGTGCCTGTTGATTATCCATTTTGGTTGTGTTGAAGGGTATAAAAAGATTAACGGAGGGAGAGCGGCAGTGCTATCGCTATGCGATGTTAATGATTTATGCTAGTTTTGTAGCCAAGGAATCAGATTGCATTTCTCAGTCAGCCAGCTTGTCGCTCTTTTTTTTTTTTTTTGCCTTTGGGACGAATCTTGAATGCTCTTCCGCTGCTGGCTGCTGCTTCTTCTTCCACTTCATCCCTCTATTTCTTTTATACATTACATATTCTTCCCCATTTCCTCCTATGAATGATAGTTTACTTACTTGGTGGCAATTGAGAATAATATCTTCCAACGACTTTGAACGCACTTCCAAGTCTTCTGATTGCGAGATAGCAACAGCTAATTGAAGTTTTCTACCCAAAAATAAACGAACCCCAATTGGAAAACGACCCCTCCCTCCACCACCCCATCAAGCAAAGCAAGCATCACCCTTTTTGTTGACAAGGTCAAAGAAAAGGTGAAATTGGCCCAACATATTTGTCTGAGTACGATGATGTTACTCGACCACCACTGCTGATGTAAACATATCAAGAGCACTCGCCCAAGTTACAGAAGAATAAAAATACGACATACACAACTGCTCCTCCCATGAACATAACCAGAAGTTCAAAGGGCCAAGAAACAACTCAGTAATCTACCAGTGTGATTCTCCCACTATGTTCTACTCGCTCGCTAATAAGAAAAGAAAATCACGTCGAACCAAAAACACCAAACAGGATACGATCAAAACTTTCGAAACATAATCTGCACTGGCAAACAGCACCAACTCAAGCTGAATCCTTGACTTTTTGTTGCTGCTTCCCATTCTTGAAGTTGAGGAACAGCTCGCCCAGATGGGACTCGCAAGCGGTTTGCACTTCTGGCGCCACTTCTTTCAGAAACGACTTGGTCAGGTTATTGGCAGATATAGTCTGGAAGACCTTACCACAAAATTTCCGCACATCAGCATGCCTCGACTGTTTCTCTGGCATATTTGTCACTAGCTCCTTCAACAGCCCACTCAGCTTCTGAATCACTTGAGTTTTCAGAATCTTCTTTGCGGCCTTTCCATCAGAACCAGTACTTGAAATCATTGATTTCAAAACCTCTACAACAAGTTCGAGTGCTTCAACTCGACGGAACTCCAGTTTTGAGCTGCCGCACTGGTCTACAAGGAAATCAAAGAGGTTGTGTGCAATCCACGGTCTCCTTCGGAATATCTCTTTGACAAACCCCAACTTTATTGGGCACTTTTTACTGCCAAAGTATCCCGTAAGCATATTCTTCACCGCATCAAAGACACTCTGGCGTTCTTCCTCTGAAAAAGCGCTCGCATCAATCACCTTCAGGATCCAAAATGTTGAATCTTGTGCAAGGGAAGCCAGCATTTTGTGCCGTTTCCTGGCAGCTGACTCTTTTTTCTTGGATTGATCAGCAGAAGCAGTAGATTTCTTCTTCTTGAATGGTCTGGACGCCAACTTCAAATTTCTTTCTAGCAGCGTTGCAAGCAATTCGTTGTCCACATCATCCCCTTTCGGGTACTCCTTTGCCTTCAATATTTTCTTATTCAAAATTCCCCTTATTCGCTGTCCTAGCTGCTCACTGACTTCTGTGGTCTGTGGGTTAACAAACGCCCGAGCCAAGTACGAGTAGATTGTCAAGACGTGGGGCTTACCTGCACAACCATAAAGAAGAAATAAATTTAGGTTAGCATAGTGTTTCCACAGTTGTTTCCCTTTTTTTTTCTTTTTTCAGCATGCTATTTACTGTCACAAACTCCAAATCCCAAAGACCTCATAAGACAAAGTAATCTCTAAAACTGATGGTAGTTATGTATCCTTTAAGTTACCAAGTCACTGAATGCATTTCAAAATATTTATATAACCAACTCGTTGATGCTCAAATCAATATTTTCTCCACAGCAAGGGATGAACGCAATCAATTGACCCTTCTCTGGTCCCTGGCTAATCCAACCACTTGCCTGGATTTGTCTGTAGGTAAATCTCCAGCAATGAGAGAACACGAAGCTTGAACAAGACGAGCTGTGATTGAGCAGTTTCACCCCCGGCCTGATTTTTTTTCTCTTTGAAAATCTGGGCAAGGTATGTATCCATCTTGAACATTGCATCATCATCCATTCCATCATCTGACTCGTCAGAATCTTCAGGTGATTCTTTGTCAGCTTCCACTACGGCCTCAGAGTCATCTGTCTGTTCTTCACTCTCACCTGTTTCCACTGTTTGGGCTTCATCAGTTTCATCATCTTCATCTTCTTCAATGCCAAGAAGATCATCATCATCTTCTTCTTCATCGCTATCTGTTTCCCGATGTCTAGCTGGCTTCAAGTCTCTCTTGATGATGCGCAGCATTTGCAACAATCCATCATGTGTAACATTGTAGGAGAAACACTTGAAAACCTTCGAAGTAGCAAGTGGGAAAAAAAGATAATGTTAGTGAACTCATCAATAACAACTGAAGTAATAAAAACAGTCAGCACCTGCCATCTAGCTCTGGTTTTGTGTGCAGCAAGACCATGACATTAAGTTAAATGACATGTCAAGCAACAAGAGTTTCACTAGAAGAGTTCGAGAAAGATAAGTCCTAGACTGATGTTAGAATAAATTGAGTCAACTGCGACTAAACACGTGTTTAATTTTTCAACTTTCGATGCCTCACACCATATTGAGGATAATGTCATATTGTGCCATGCTTACAAAAAACTGAAGCCTTAGGAGAAAGTAATTATTAAAAGAAGCAGCCTCAGAAAAGGTTAAACACCAATTTGGAATGTCATATGACGAAGAAGAGGAACTAAATACAGAAAAATGAAACAAAAGAGACATACCTCCTCAACAGCAGACCGGATAGGAGCCGATGATTGAGGCAACAGTGAAACCAAAGTGTCGACAAGAACATCCATCCACTCAATATCATTATCAGACTCATCTTCCCCCAAGTCAAGAACATCAGAGAGGCCAAAAGCTTTTTTGCAACATATAATAACTTCAGAGACAGGTTCGCTAAATTCCACCGGATGAAGAAGCACTTGGAGCAATAGCTGGATCAACAAGTACCTCAGTGCATGGTACTTGTACATGAAATCCTCAGGACCGCCCTTTCTTTCCTGCAATAATTAAAATGTCAAAGAATGATGCCATTGAATGGTGCATGATAAAAACTATATATGTGCGTGCAGTACAAACTAGGCACTGAATGTGCCTGCATATGAACAATTTTTTAGTCCCAAGAAAGAAGCAGACTATATGACTGGATCTCTCTACCATGAAACCATAAGTACAAGAATTTTGAACCAAATATTCAATCATGTCTTGTTGCCTTGAGACCATGAGCACAAGGTATTAGTTTGGCATTGTCGTGGAACTACACTATTACAAAATGTTGATATGTGCGAGATATTTTATATTTTCATATTTTATAGTGTGCCAAACGTTTGAATAATAGTACTGAAGCGACTTCAAACCTTTAGAGACACCAAGCACAACTTGTTAAATGCAAGCTTTACCTGTTTGTAAAGACTAGCTTCCATTACTTGTAACTTTTTGTAAGCCTTCTCATCCTCGTCACTTAAAACCCGGAATAAAGAAACAGAAGGTATGCTGTGCAATGTTGAGAGGAACTGCATGAAGAATGACCCGAGATCACTAGATCCAGAGCTCTGCAGCAAAACTGGGGATAACTCCATCTTCTGAGCACTTGCAAGTAATGACTGCATTTGCTCAATGCTCATTCTACAAATGGCACTTGACGTTGCTGCCTTTGGCCACCTAAATTTCTCCTGTAGTTCAAAAGATGTGACCTCAGAGCCAAGAGATGGGGAGAATAAACCTTGAACTGCAAGGAACTTAAGGATTTCTCTTTGGACATGAAATTTTTCTTCAGGCTCCAACTTCAAAAATTTCAAGATGCTTGGCAGCGATTCTACAATCCAACTTTTCAAGGAATCAGAACTTCCCATGGTACCAGAATCTTTATCCTCTAGTGATCCCATCTCTGAATTATCATCAGTTGTCTGGCTCTGGTCTGAAGGTTCATCTGAATCATTACCCTCATCCACAAACAAGTTAATCAAATTTTGAATGAATAGCATGCAACCAGACTCAGTTTTGAAGCCCGACAACAAAGCTTTTACTGTTTTTGTCTTTGTTATGAAATCAAATTTCCCATTGCTGTGTTTCTGTAACGCAACTACGACAGCAACCCTTCTGACATCATCATCTCCAACCCAATCTGATAATTCTTTAATAAAATGCTGTGCAACCTTAAAAAGCCAGCTATCTTTTGTTGAAAGAATATCCATGAGGCCTTGCACAAGTTTGTAAGAGAGAACAACTGGGACCAAAGATGCAGGTAGTCTTGGAAGAAGGAGGAGCAGAACATCCAATGCCAGATGCTTACGGTCATGAGATGATGGGAGGAGGGCACACTCAAATATAACTTCACAGAAGTTTTTAACATTCTTTTCAATTTCTTCATCTGTTGAACTGGACTTCCTGTTTCTTCGATTCTTCTTCAGAGAATTAGAAGCCGATACCACATCTTCAGCCTGAGATATCACTACTGGCAAAAGCATATTTACCAGAACAGGCCACACGCTGTGAACTCGAGGCTGGCAGGAGGTTGAATTCTGCCACATTCAACAATTAAAAACAAAGGGGGAAAAGCTATTAGACCTCATAAGTCAGACAGAACCTGGATAAAACAAATATCTTGGAGAACAACCTTCCAGCACTGAGTGAGTAAAGTCAAATGATCAGAGGAGAAGAATCTGGCAGGGCTGAATGGATGTGGCAGAATTTTTCCAAACTTTAAGCTATCAACAGATACTTTCTCCCGAACCCTCAAAGCTAGAAGCAAAGCATCTGGGTTCCCAGCATCCACGGCATCATTAAACCAATCAGAAAGTCCAGGTGCTTCAAGTATGTGATTCAATAAGTGGCCCACCTGCATCTGTATATATAACTATCAGTATCCAATGGCATTGAGTATAAAAAGCACATTCCCAGGGAGGTGGTTATAAGATATAGCAATGACGAACTTATAGTAAACAGAAGACATCAGATGAAGATACCAAAATCAAGGACCATAAGAAGTTACGCAAACTTGAGTTAAAAAATGCAGCATATGATATTTTTATATAAAGTTCCGTCAGATGTAGATGGAACACTCTTTTACATTGGTTTAATAGGGTATATGGACCGGAGACTTAGTAAATTTTTAATGCATGCTATCTTGCTAAGGAAACATTGAGAATATAGCCAACGAAACAGCAATGTAAAACAGAGGGCAGTGTAGTGCTGGATAATATATATTCTACAGAAGAGGCCGCCTCGTACATACTCCAGCAAATTCAGAATGCTACAGATAAGTAATAGCAGTCAAGAGAATAAAGCAAAACTACCACAGACCAGCATATACTGAATACCACAAAAACAATATCTTATGCACCCTGGACTGTTACTTCTTTGGATGAAAACTCTATCCATGATAAAGGTTCACAAACTTTACAGGCAGACCACACAGCAAAACTGATACATGAACATCAAAAGAAAAGGAAACAACTGCATAAGAAGTTTGATAAAACCAATAGCAGTTAGCAGCAAAACTACCTTTTCTGCCAATTCCAAGATAACTGTTACAGCAGGCTCTGGCAAATACGATTTCTTTGTTGCAAGAGTCAGAAGAACACTCACAAACTCCTTGATTACTGGAGTGTTTGGATCCGACACACACAACTCATTGAGTATCCCTGATCGAGCAAGAGCGCCATATGAAAATAATCTACCTAAAAGACAATCTTTTACTTCCTGTCCACACACAAAGAACAAGTTCAGAAAATTTCCAATTGTTAAGTACAAAACAAAATGCCTAACCAAGATGTATAATTGCTCACCTGGCCCTTCATTGATGCAGAAACTTCTAATGTCTCAACAATCAATTTCAGCAATGAGTCAACTTTGATTGAAGAAATTGTGCAAACCAACAGAGTCAATCCTAATGCAAAACCCTGTCTGGCACACTAAGAAAAGAGAGTGGATAGACAGTCAATACAAACTAAGGATCCCATAATACAGATACATAAGAAATGAACAGACCAACTCAAGGAGACTGTTATAACTTATTCAACTCAGAAGAAGCTGAATGCTCAGTTTCTTGACCATACTGGATGCAGCTACTAAGTTTTCTCTACCATTAGTCATGAGCAAGTCACTATTCAACATAAAACGATTTTGTAAAATCAAACCACAGGATTAAGCACAACGAAAACTGAAATATAGAAATGTATCCTGAATGGCTATGGAAGTCTAGGTAACAGGAAAAACAAATTGTCCGTAGATAAAAGGAAATCCAAAATTTCAAGTAAATATGTCAAGACAGTGTGCGTAGATTTCTAGTTCAGTGGGACACCTGGAAGCACCAAACATGTTTTAGGTCAAAGAGACAACAGGCATGTCAACCTGATGGTGGCTTTATGGCAGTTTCAGCAAGGCAACACCTTTAACAGCAATAAAACTTTTTCGACCCAGCTCAATTACGATGCATGACAAAGCTTGATCTTTATTCAGCAGCAAGAAATCGGCTACTATAGCTCAAATAACACATACGCCCAGTTTCCTATTCACATCTAAAGATCAAACATAACAAGGGAAGGCTCAAATAAACCTACCTCCCTAGATGATGAAGTGCCGCGTATAAGCCTCCTGACAGCATATCTGACAGATGGTGCACAATCTTTCAACCCATCATCCTTTTCAGCTTCCAAGTCCGAACCACTTTCAAATAACTCCTTACTTCCCTTGTAAGCTCTGTGAACCTCTTGCAATTCTGCCACTAGTCTTTCTACAGCAGCTTCTCTTGAAGAAGCATCAGCAGATGCCAAATCCTTAAAAACATCTATGTGGAAAACAGGGACTGCATTGCTCGAGGAAGCCACCATTTGTCCGCTTGTTTCATCAACTTTAGAATCCACATCCATTAGTTTCGGCTTTTCTTGTGCATTCGCATCCGAAGAACCACGGTGACGCAGTTTGTCCAATGTTTTCCTCTGCTTCTTTCTTTCCATAATTTTGATTGAATTAGTTCCTGCGGACGGAATAGAAGCAGTAGGAACACCCCCATATGCCCTATCACCACTCTTCTCCTTACCCTTCTTCATTTTCTTCTTGATGGGGTTTGCGAGTGCATTTTCTTCTTCCACACCCACTACCTCATTAGCTTCCTCTACCAAACTTGAAGTTCTTTTTTTGCTCCCCATTGCAAGCCACTAGAAGAAGAAATATAAAAAATACAGGACAAGCAAAATTCAGAAAAGATAATACACAAAAGGACACCGCATAAGAAAGCAGAATACCAAAGCAGTATAAAATACAGCAAAGAAGAAAAGGGGAAAACAAAGAACGGGAGGAAACAAACCAATAAACTCTGAGACCCTGTGTTCTTCTGGTTTCCTCCCAAGTTGCTAGATTCCTTGAAACTGCACTGGAGTTAGAAAAATTTAGTAAGTGCTCCTGCAGATTAAGGAGGCGGCCGCGACAGCTAAATAAGCAGAACGAGGCTACGTTGGGGACGGCCAGATGAGGATAAACGATGGCTCGAGAAGGAGAAGAGCCCACGGCGGTGGCGGTGACGACGGGACGGGAGGAGACGAAGGAAGCGACAGATCGTGGAGAAGAAGGAGACGACGGTGAAAGCAGTCTGAGGAAGAGCTCGTGGCAGGTAAAGAGGATGAAAGACTCTGGTTCGGGAGCGGGAGGACCTTGGCGGCTGTGACTGTGAGAAGGAGATGAAGCTGAAGGCGAGGGTGTGAATTGTGAATCGCGGAATAATAGGCTAAAAAACCTCCGGACAAACGAAGACAGGGTTTTGATTTTGAAGTCGCAGCGTCGTTTCGCACTAGTAGGGTTTAAGATTTCCAACGCCCGAAGTTTTTTTTAATAACATTTCTCTTTTACAAATTTACAAATCATACCCCTCTACTATTTTTTTCACGAACATACCATTCTAGTATTAAAACGTAACGAATATACTCTTCCGTCTAAGTTTTTATTAAATAGCCATTTAATGAGCACTATAATATGACCCAATCACCACTCATTAACTCATAATTTTAATTTACAGACCGTTTGATATCAAATGAACTAAAGAATTCATTTCATTTTAAAATGAATTACCGTGTAGAATTCATTTTCAAATGAATTCATGTGTTTGGTATGTCATATTCAAATCTTTAGAAATAAAATGAATTGAATTATCAAATCATGTTTCTCATACGTTTAGAATTAAATTAAAAGTTTCCAACTACACCCTTATTAATTTCTGGAAGAAACAATATTTATTGAAATCCATCTTCTAAAAAAAGTCTTTGGTCCCATAAGTAGAATATCAAAAGTGTTCTTGTGTGTTTCTATTCTATTCATTTGTTCTTTTCTAATATTTTTTTGATGAACCCTACACTCTAGTTGTGGCTTCTCAACATGCTGATACAATCGAAGTAGAAATATCAAATAACCAACATATGCTACTAGCATTGCATCGAATTCTTATCGATGTTCCTCATACTGCATGAGTTGGCTTCAAATAAAATATGTAGAAGTAATTTAGTTAATAAATTATGAGAATTATGTCATTTTTATAATTAGTAAATACTTGTGGAATTCATTTGAAAATTCCATCTCAATTCATTGAAATTGCTATAACTAGTCTCAATTCCGTTGAATTCAAAATTTAGAATTAAAGATGAATTCTTTTAAATACCAAACACAAAAAGTTATCATTTCAAAATGAATTTCTCAAAAGTTATGGAATTCATTTATACCAAATGGTATGTTAGTTATTTTTAATCTCTAATCAAATTATTTAAATATTAAAAGGGTTAATAGCATGCTGTACCCCTCTATTATTGAAAATTAACAAATGTAGACCTCTATTCAAATTTTTACGCAAACACACCCTTCTAATATTAAACCGTAAAAAATATATCCTTACGTCCAATCATCTGTTAAACAACCGTCCAACCCCTCAATCTCGTCGGCGACTGCTCCCGGCTTATCCTCGCTGGCGGCTGGAGCAGAAAGGAATGGATGCACGAATGGGGTCTGAAACCATCTTGGGCTCCGAGAAGGAGAGTTTGAACGATAGCGCAGAAACCCTTGTGTTGTTGTATGTCTACAATCTCACCCATATCAACAATTACACTTACTGGTTCGGTTTCAAAATTTTCCATTCCGACATTGAAGTTCATCGGAAGTAGTATGGATTTTGAGCTCAGGACTTCCTAATTAGTGGATTTTTTGAAGTCGAGCAAAGAAACTACCCCTATTTCATTTACAGATGTTTCATCCTAGTGGGGAGGTGTCAAAATAGAACCCGACCCGACTAACCCGACCCGCAATCCGAACTAACTAAAAGTCAATGACTCGCAACCCGCCTGATCCGCAACTCGATTGACCCGTGACCCGATTAACCCGACTAATCCGTAACTTGATTAACCCGAACCCGATTGACCAGTAACTTGATTAAACCCGTAACCTGATTGACCCGAACCCGACTAACCCGTAACCCGCCCGATTGACCCAAATAATTATTATATAATATATTATGTAGTCTTTGAAAATGAAGTTTGTTTGTTGTAAGTCTAAGTAAAACTATTTTTTTCATTTTATAAAGGAAAGTTCAAAAAATTAAATTGAGTTGAAATTATGTATTTTTAATAAAAGAAAGAAGGGAAAATTTTGGTGCTTTTGATTTCTGGAAAGAGAACAAAGTGGAAAATTTTGTGTTCTTAAATTTTTTGGAATAAAAAGAAGAGAGAAATCTGGTGTTTAAATTTTTTGGAAAAGAAAGATGGGGAAGTTTTGGTGATTTGGTTTATAGGAAGAGAAAGAAGTATAAAATTATGTTGTTTTCAACTTTTTTTTTGGGGGGGGGGGGGGGGGGGGGGGTTTTCAAGTTTTGGGGGGAAAAGGAGGGGATGTTTCCAATAATAGCACCTTTAAAAAAAAATTACAAAACTAGCACCCAGCTGAAAAAATTTACACTAATAGCACCATTTTTAATAGACTGCACCTCGAAGGTGCGTTTTATAAGTAAATCGCACCCTCCAGGTGTGTTTTATGTATAAATCGCAACTTGGAGGTGCGCTTTGCGCCACGTCAGACTGGAAACCGCACCTCCAAGGTTCGGTCTGTGTTTGGTGGGCAGCGGCCTTGGAGACCGCAGGATTATGTGGCGATCTAGCGGGAAGAACGCACGCCACGTCAACGATCCTTGCCAAGGATCGAAGACCGCAGTACCAGGGAGCGGTCAACCCTCGGGGAGCGTAAACTCCCGCCGGGAAGGTGCAGTTTTGACTGGGGAAAAATTACCAGACCGCCCCTGGAGGGTGCGGTCTGATGGGTATAAATACCCCCTCCCCCCTCTCATTTTTTTACACCACAACCATTCTCCACTCTCTCTCTCTCTAGACTTAACTCTCTAACCCCTCCCCTCCCCTCCCAAAAGCCTAGGAAATAGTGGTCTGTTGGTTGCAGCTAAGTTCGATCTGCCATCAGAAAACATTTCTTTGGTTTTCCCCTCAAAACCCGCCCGCCGAATCTCTGTCCGACGTCGAATCTCTGTTCGACTTTCGCGAGAAAATGGACGAGTGGTTCCAAGAAGAGGGAGTTTATTATGATTAATTTCAAGCGGTACTTAATCATTATTTTGGTCAATTTTTGTTTTTGTTATAAGCTTTTTAATTAATATATGTACTAACCTTGTTGTTATTCTCTCGTAGGTTGGGGACGACGTGAATATATACAACCAACGGTACTATTTGGATCAAGGGCCTATTGATCCGATCGACTTGTATGACCAACTCAACCATCGTTCAAGGGATGTTTGGAACGATCACCCGGTACATACAATTCTTCATCATTTATCTTTCTTTTATTTTTCTAATGTACTTAGTGGAATATAATGTAAATTTGAAATAATTTAATCGTATTGGTTGTTTTCAATAATTTAATCGAATACATAGCGGCACTTACTTCGACTCTTTATAAAGAGATGCACGTCTAAGGAAATTGTTCTTCTCCAAAATTAAACAACCAATAGAGAGCTTACCAATCCACCACAAATTATCAGCAAGCTTCTTCCGCTTGAAATGATGGTTCCAGTTGCTCTTGAAGTGTCGTATGCACCACCTTTGGGACCACTTCCAGGCTAGATCCAAACCTAAGATGGCAGCTCTAATCCCGGTGTGCCTATAAGAGATTATTGTCAGGTACGTCCTCTTAGTGACGTGGAGCTGAATTTGCCGGAATAACCATCCATAGCTATCAGTATTCTCTCCCTCAACAATGGCGAAGGCTAATGGAAAGACTTGTTTGTTTGCATCCGCCCCACTGGCAATCAGTAGAGTGCCCTTGTACTTGGCGGTAATGAATGTACCATCCACTTGGATCACAGGGACACAGAAGCCAAAACCATCAATAGATGGCTTGAATGCCCAAAAAAGTCGTCTGAAATGGCGTTTGTTACCTGGCTCTGGCGGTTGTACCTCTTCATCTTGGTATCGAGGGGAGAAACAGTGTCAGGGTTAGATGCCTCCAGTGCCAAAATCAACCTGGGAAGGAATGCTTATGATTCTTCCCAATCACCATATACCGCGGCCAGAGCTTTCTGCTTTCCATGCCACGCCTTATTATAGTTAATCATATAACCATAACGACTTGCAATGTCAGCGATTATGACTTTCACCTTCAGGTCAGGATCTTGCTCAATTAGATGCTTGATAGCCGCAGCAACCACCCTGGATTTCAACTGCCGATGGCCTTGGGATGTTATGGATGACACACATGTGTGCGTGTTCACCGCACGGGATATGACCCATTGGTCGTGTCTCTTGCTGTTGATGGTCCGGATCCTAACATTGCATCCCTCGTTATGATTACGGCATATGACTATGAGCCTTTTCGAGTTGGAATGAGTTGTGAGCCATTCAAAATGCCGAGTCATTGCTTCAGTATCAATGGCGTGCCGCACCTCCTTCTTCCAGCCAAATTGTTGGCCCTTCATAAACCCAGTGAGTGGACCCCATATTGGAAACCTCCGGCGGTTCCAGGTCGCTGTCGACCATCCAATCTCCGTCTGGATTGTGATTGTAGTAAGGGACTGGTACACAGTCATGAGCCACCTCATCATCATTATCTGAGTCTGACTCTGGTCCTGTATCATCAGCACCTTCAAGAGGGTCGGAGTTGTCTGCACTGACAT